CGGCCCCCGCGCCCGCCAGTCAAACCTAGTCGCTGGGCGGGCTGCCCGGCGCGGTGAGCCAGGCGGGCCGCCTCTCCCGGCGGCTGCGGGTCCTCCCGCCCCCTCTCCCGGGAGGGGTGGGCGGGGCCGCCTGCGGATTGGCCGCCGGGCTCTGATGGACAGCAGGGCTGTCCCGCCCCGCCTTTCTGGCCGCGCAGGGCTGGCCCACAGGCCGCAGACCCACGCTTGTCCCGCCCCTGCGGCCCGTGGGTCCGGCCTGCGAGGGTCTGGCCGTGGGGAGAAGCATCCCAGGCCGAGCAGCCCCTACGGGGCCTTTGCACCTGCGGCCCCGGCGGCCTGCGGCTCTGGCCTTGGCATCAGCCGCTGCCCGCCACCCCGCGCTCTCCGCGTCCGCGCGGTAGCACACGGTACAGGTCCTCCTTTAAGGCGCCCCTCCTGCAAATGCTCCCCTGCGCCTTGGCCTTCCCGGCCTGACTCCCTTGTTGTCCTCCTCTCACTCCGGCCGCTGCCTTTCAACCTCAGAAGTCTCCTGCGGGCCGGGTCCTGAGCCAGTTCCCAAGACGCCCTGACCTTTCCCGAGGCTTCACAGCCCGCCCCCGCCCTGACCCTGGCCCCCGCAGCGCCCCATCTGTGTCTCCCCTGCATCCCACTGCCTGCTCCACGTCCCCACTTTACAGGCACCTCGCTCCCTCCTCAAACTGCTCCTCTTACAGTCTCCACTTTCTTAGAACATGGCACGAAACTCTAAGGTGCTTAGGCCAAACCCTTGGGGGTGTTCTTGATTCCTCTCTGCCTCAACCCCACATCGAGTCCAGTTCATTCTGCTCTCAGGTATCTCCACTCCACCCACAAGCCCAAGGCCCATCTTTCTCACCCAAACTTGACCCTCTTTGGTCTTCTAAAGGAAATTAAATGATTTCCTAGCTCCAGCCTCAAACCCTCCGTGACTTCTCATTGCTCCTAAAATCCACACTCCCTACCTGGCCCAGCAAGTTCTGTGTGGCCCGGTCCCTTGCTCTCCCACTTCCTCTCTCACCACCTCCCCTTCACTCTCCATCTCCAGCCACAAGGCCTTTTTGTGTTACAGGTGGACCTCATCTTAGTGCACTTGACTTCATTGTGCTTCACAGGTGTTGTGATTTTTTACAAACCGAAGGCAAGACCCTCGGTGAGTCGCTTTATCATGATACCTGCTTTATTAAGGTGGTCTGGACCGGAACCTGCAATATCTCTGAGATATACCTGTATCTGAATAATTCATACTCTTTGTCTTCCTGAGGCCATTCTCTAGATTCGCCCCTGCAATCTAGCTGCCCCTGTCACAGAGAACTGCCCAAACCAAAGACATCTGAGATCACAGTGGAGCCGGACAACCAGAGATTGAGCCAAGCAGGATTATTTACCACATTTCAGAGGTGAGGCCCAGCAGAGCGTGCAGCAGGTGCCAGAGAAAGATCCCGGTCTCCTGGGATGTGTGTGTGTAGCAGTGACCGCTCAGGCAGCCCACCCAGCTGGGTGGTGATGGTGGCGCGCTGCCTCTGACTGTGTCTTGTTGTAGTAGTAACGTGTGTGTATGTGTGTTTTGATTCCCTCGAATGCAGCCCCTAATGAAGCTGAGTATTCAGCTGACGTCCAGTGCCTGGTGCTAGGAGGCTTCAGCCACCTGAGGAGGAGGCAAGCTGCTGAGATGGACTGCCACCTAGCGACAAGCCTTTAAAGTGGGAGGGAGGGAACTGAAGTTGACCTAATGCCGGACCCAGTGAGAAGAGCATACACACGTGTCTCACCTGATCCTCATAATTACAAAGGGAGTCAGGGATTATTGTCCCCAGTTTAATGATGAGGAAACTGAGACTTGGAGTTCTGTAACTTGCCCCAAGGCCACACAACTAACAAGAGGTGATTTGAACCCAAGTCTGTCTGACTCCATGCATTTGCTGCCTCAAAGAGAGCCACTGGCTTAAGTAGGTCAGTAGTCAGTGGGCATGGAGGCTAGCTGGCTAATCGGTGTAGGTGAGGGGAGGCCTTGGGTATGGCTGGCCCAGGGCACATAGAACTCAGAAAACATAAGTGCTCATAAAGTGTGGCTTGAGGTAGCTTGGGCTTAAGATGGTGCTGCCCCTGTCTGCAGCCCCTGAGCTTCGCTGTGTGGCCCTTGGTGGCATGAGTTGGGAAAAGAAGAGAAACCCAGCACCAGCCCTCCAGGAATTCATAGGCATTAAACAGACAAACACTTGTTATGTAAGGTAAATTGGGATGAGAGCTACAGAGGAAAAGAACAGAGGGCTATGAGATAAACATTAGAGAGCCCTACTTCAGATCTAGTAGGTAAGGAGGACCACTCTAGGACCGAACAAAGGCCCAAAGGATGTGAGTAGATGGCCAGGTGAATTTTTAGGGGTAAGAAAGTACTTTCTAGAGGTAACAGCATGTACAAAGGCCCTGAGGTTAGAAAGAGCTTAGTGGATTGAGGAATAGAAAGAAGGCTAGAGTTTACTAAGTAATGGGGGAGCACTTGGAGAGCATTTGAAGTAAGGAAGACAGGTGCGGGCTGAATGGGGACCCTCCCTGCCTATCTGACTTTGTCCATTTTTCTAGGAGGACCCCTCCTAAGTGCTGCAGCTCTCCTCGAGCTTCTTATGCCAACTTGGCAGCCTGTGGGCTGTGATGTACTTTTAAAGTCGGCTTTTCTATTTTCTGACGCTTCCATAATGCAGCTCATGCTTCCTTGCTTTTACTTGTGTTTTGGTCTCTGGGGCCGGGCCCCCAGGGGCTTCAGAAATGCCTGCCAACAGAAGCTCATATTTTCAGTCGGCTGCCAGGCCCTCCTTCAGGAAACAGGGCCCCACTTCCTCCTGGGACTTCTGAGCCAGCATCCCAGGCCTCAGGTGCCTCCCTCCACCAAAGCAGTTTCAGGAAAATCAGGGCGCTCAAAGGGTGTGGCTGATATGGGCTTTCCCCAGCTCAGCATATACTAGTATATGGGTACGTGGGTGTCATTGGCAATGCGTGCAGCTGCGCTGGCTGGGAGGGAGCAGCCTAGCACCCACTCAAGGCACATGCCCGTGACATCACCCAGGCTAGTCCTGCTTGGGCCTGTTTCTGCCAACACTCATGCTTCAATATGCCCGCCCCCCACCAATACCTGTGCCTGAGGTCTGGGGAGGTGTCTCAGCCCACATGACCCTCTGGCGTTGTGGGCCTGACCTCCCAGGTATTCACTTACTAAACATTTAGAACAGTACTTAGCATATAGTAAGCCTAATAGAACAGCTGTACTCACATTGTCTCATTTACTCCTCATTGAGGTAAGTACTCTCATTATCCCCATCCTACAGATGAAAAACCAACACACGGAGAGATATGTCCAAAAACACAGCTAGGAGGTGGCAGAGATGGGATTCAAACCCAGGCAGCCTGGCTCGAGTCAATTATGTGTTACCTCCCATGTAGGTATGAACATTCTATTATATATCCTCACCCCTTTGCATAATACCCATACCCGCTTTCTATTTTTAGTTATTTGGTGAAGTGCTGTCACAGGTTGAGTTTCTTTGGGAAGCAGATTCTACAGAGGTTAGTGTGCAGAATGTTTATTAGGGAGTGCCCTTGGCTGGGATCAGCACTCTGGAATGGAGCTCCGGTGGCGCAGTTGGTTAGCGCGCTGTGTAAGGAAGAGGCACAGGGAGAGTCCCCAGGGAGCCCTGGCCAAATGGCTCTCTGCTGCTGAGGTGACCTTAGGGAGCTGACAGCACTCTCAGCAGTTGGGGCAATAAGTGCTTCCTTGTTGGGGAATCTGGGTGGTACACATCACTGTGCCCACCACAAATGTATTCTTTTCCAGCCCTTTAAAAAAATTTAGGGTACTTAAAGGGCAAAAATATTGTAGTACAGAAATGGGGTTTGCAGTTATAAAAGAACTATAGTATGGTTAATATGGGTTAACATAGCTCCTGTGACTGAGAATCAGATGTAGCTGAGCTTCTTCGTAGCCAAAGCAAAAATTCTTTCTATTCTGATAACTAATAACTTAGGGGAGAAAAATTCTCCTAGGGATAAACTATAAAAGAAGTTTCTCATATGGACACTTATTTGTTTGAAATAGTGGAGAATGTTCTCAACAAATTTACAGCAAATGCTGCCAGTTTGTTTCTGGTAATAACCTTGAATAAATATAGAAGGTATAATATAACGGTATAGCTTAGTGGAGCCCCTTCCACCATTGATTTATAGATTGGCAGTGTCTAATTTGATCCATACATAAAACTTTATCCCTTTTCTTTAAAGTAATCTTTAAATTTTACTCAGTAGTTTGTTAGATGTCTAACCAGCCCTTCTCAAGGGTTTTTGAGCCAGCCTGCACCTTGGTGTACAGCCAGTACTTACTTAGTACGTACTCACCTCAGTGCACCTTGAGCTCCACCCCACCTTTGGTCTAGGCTCCTTGACCTCTGGCCCCAATATCTATCTATGCCTCCTACTTAGTTGTTGGACCTGACACTTCTTCGGTGATGTCCTGCTTTCCTCCTCACCTGGAATGTACTCTCAGCCCCTTAAGAACCTCATGTTTTCTATCATTCAAGGCAAAACGAGGCCTGGCCCAGCCACTTCCAGGGACTCTGCTCTCTCTGCAGACCCTTCGTTGCCTCTGCTGATGGGTCTCTATACTGGGACCCAGAGAGGCAGGAGAGCTGGGCTCCAGATGTACCTTCTTCAGGGAGGTGGCAGGGATATGTAATTGCTTCACTAAAGGAAGAGAAGGGGAGAGTCCTTGCTAGCCACTGGCCCAGGCCAGGGCAGACCTATTTTTCTGCTTTTCTCCTAACAAATACTCCTGGTGCCTCCTCTATAGCAGTAACACAGCAGAGATGGATCAGACCAAGTTTCCACTCCAGTAGAGTCACAGAAATGCCAAACAGGACAGTTCATTGTGATAAAGGCCCCTGGAACCTTGAGAAGGGACACAGACCTTACCTGACCTAGCCCTTTTATGGCTGAGGGGTTGGAGAAAAGTGAGAGACAGAGTATATGCCTGAATATATGGCAGGTCCAAATATAAGGTGATCACTTGTTTTTCCAAAAATGTCACTTCAGGTGTTCTGTGGCTTTTTTGCAACTAAAATATAAACATTTTTAGAGATGCAGGATTCAAATGACCACATATAAGTTTTAGTTACACATATCTTAAATCACATATTATTTGAAACAATATATTGTGAATGTTACTTTCTTGCTCTTACTTTTGCAGTGATAATGTTCGAACTCTTTATATGAATCTTTCATTTCTTTGTAGAAATCACTAGAGCCACTTTTGAGTCATCTAATTTCTGAAGCACATCACTTTGCTGCCTTCTAAGTTGAGAGAGAGCACTTTTGAAAAATCAACTTTACTGAGAAATAATTTACCTATAATAAAATGCATCCATTTCAAGTGTAAAGTTTGGTGAGCTTTGGCAAATGTATACCACCCAATCAAGATGTAGAACATTCCCCTGCCCCCGATTTGGCCATCACTAATCTACTTTCTGTTACTACAGATTAGTTTTGCCCATTCTAGAATTTCATATACATGAAATCCTTAGTATATGCACCATTGTGTCTAAGTCCAGCATAAAGTTTTGGAGATTTGTACACATTGATGTAGAGAGAATACTTTTTGAATTATGTGATGCTATCACTGGGAATTTTAACTAAGCCTTTTTGTATAGCATTTGTACAAAACAGGTTTTTTTTCCATTCTCCCATAGCTATATATTAGTATTCAGTTGGTCAGACTACCCACAGACCCCTTCTATAATGTTTTAACACAAATTTTAACTCTATGTTATCCATAAATATTTCAGTGCTTTTTTTCTAAGAGTTTTTTAAAAACTATATATAGAACTATAGTACTATTATCAAACCTAAAAAAAATCAACACCATATTGCTATTTAAAATGACCATTGAGAGGTTTGTTTACACGTAATACTTATGATTGTGAGAAATAATTACTAAGTGTGTGGTCAATTTCTTTGCCTCCTTGTTTACTGATTCCGTCATGGGACTACTTATAATCATCCAAAAGTAGCTTGGCTGAGGTCATTTCAGGGTAATGTGTTTTCTCCAAAAAAGTGCTTTTTGGTTCACAACAAGTTTAGAGAGCATCCTATTATAGGAGGGATTTTGTAAGGACCCAAATGTAAGTAAACTCTTTTCTCAGATGATTTCAGAGTCATTAATTTATTGGACTTGTGAGAAAGGAATGAAGGGTGATGGCTCCCCTGGGTTCCGGTTGAGGGACAGTGGATGGGTTTCACCATCCAGCTTGTAGTAGGTACTGAGCTCAGTTCTAGAGATTTGAGATTGAGTAGCCCGTGACACCCCCGCAAAGATGTAGTTGGCAATGTGTCTGGAGCTCAGGAAAGGGGTCTAGGCTGGAGCCTTCACGTTCAGGTGTGAATGAAACCAGGCCGTGTGACAAGAGGAGTAACTGAGAAGCAACAGCCTGATAGAGGTAGGAGCAAAACCAGAAGATGGTGTTGTGGGAGCCAGAGAGAAGTGCTTTAAAGGGGGTGGTCACGTATTGTATAATTTCACATTATGTGAGATGTCCAGTAAAGATAATTTACAGAGAAAGTAGACTAGTGAAGGTTGGAGGTGGGGGGTGGGGAGGGATCTTACTGGGCAGATATTCAAAAACTGATTTATAGTGATGTCTGCACCACTCATTTGAAATAGGTGTATTTGGTGTTTTTATGATACGTAAAATATACTTCAACAGAGCAGTTTAAAAAATAGTAGTCAACTGCCCATTTACTGGTTTGGTCCCTTATTCATTGGTGAATGTGGTCAGATGGAGAGGGGAATTGGGGGCAAGATGGAGCAGAAGCTAGTTGCAGTGGGTGGGGAATGACAGGGTTGTGTCCATGACTCATTCCAGGTGCTTGTTTGTGAAATGGAGAGGGAGGAGGTGGTAGCTGGAAAGGGCTGGGAGTTGTGGTTTCTTTTTTCATGTTTTAAATGTGTGTAAGAGGCCTCAGGTAGATTTGGCAGGGAGAACGGACAGGACCTGCTGACCAGATGTGGGGGGTAAGAGGGAGAGTAGCCAAGGAAGCACCAAGCTGTCTGGCGCGGGAAGCACAGCACATATACCCAATCTCCCTTTGCTCACAGCCGGACTCAAGCATCACAGAAAGGCCTGACAGGAGGAAGTTGTTATAAAAAAACATAACTGGGAGGAGGGAACCAATCAGTGGCTAAACAGGCAAGGGAGGCAGTCTCCCGACTCCATGCTCAAGCATCCTTCAGGGCCCTTCACATCTGGCCTTTCCCTACCTGTTCAGCCTCTTCCCTCATGCCCAGTAGCCAGGCCAGCTTCCCATTCTCTGGCTTCCTCTTTGAGGCCTGTTGCCACCATTCAGGATGCTCTTCACAGTTGTTCTTAACCAGCACCTAGTTGCCCTGCACCTGCCCTCAGAAGACTGGAAAAGATAGGCACAAGTTCCTGCTCATTAATAAAATCTTCTGCCTGCAAGGCCTCCTGTCCCTGATTTCTGGTTGTGGACCAAAGTTTGTGTCCTAGTTGTGGCAGGTCCTGCTCAAATCCCAAACTTGAGGTCTACTTTCTCATCACCCACCCACCAGTCATAAAGCTTAAAGCTTATCAGTTAGGCACTGAAAGATCCTCTCTGTTGCTGTTCCTTACACTCAGTGGTCTAGCTACACCGCCAAATTAAAAAATACCTGGCTGGAAAAACAAACAAAAAACCTGGCTGCAATCTCTAGCTCCAAAGCCATGGTGGCTACTTAACACTTGGAGTGCGGGTGAATTTCCCGCCAAAATATAAGATGGCTCTGTCTTTTGGTTTTGTTCCATCCACCAAAAGGGTGGATTACAAACAAATATTTGGTAATACGCAGTTACAATCGGCCCGAGTTTACACGTTTCCCGCACTCCACCGCAAATCTATATGAACCGAGTTTTAAGACGGCTCCCGCGGAGTACGCGCAATTCACGCAAGCCGACCGTTTCCCCGCACTCCAAGTGTTAACCTCCTTTATTCCCTGGGGTGAATGCTACTCCCCCCCCCCCCCCACCACTGGCCAAAAAAGGAGCCCCGCCCTCCCCCAATTATCTGCAGGGGGCCCAGCCCTGGGAGTTGAGAGCCTATCAAGGAGATGGCTCTGCTCCAGAACATACTTGCACTTGCTAGCAGGAGGGCATACAGCTAAGTGAGCAATTCTGACCACTCTGGCCTTCCTGCTCCATTGGACCCAGAGATCTCATCCTTCACCCTGAATTCCAGACTTCGCTGTAACCTAGGATGAGGAAAGGAACAATTTTTGTAGGGTCCCTGGTCAGCCTGGGTACCAGAGCACTGGGAAATGGTCACAGATCACTCTGTCTTTCAATCAATCAATCAATCAATCAATCAATGCAGGGAGAAGTCTGCATTCCACCAGGGAGAGGGCTTCTGGGATCCAGTGTCCTAACTGGCTTAGTACCCTCAATTCCTGCCCTCCTGTTAAGTCTAGCCACACAAGCAAACGCAAAGCTCCCTACTGCTTCTGGCCAGCACACATGGAAAGTGTTCCCAAAATCTGCCTCCCAAATACACTTGCTCTAGCCTTCTAATACAGTCCCTGCACCCCATCTGTTCTTGTAGACTTTCTGCACTCTCCCTCACTTCCTGGGCCTGCCTTCATTCTAAGGGTGTGGACTTTGACTCTCCTTTGACCTACACCCATGGCAGCAGGACTCCTGGGGAGGGACCCACCCTTGCTGACCAGAGTAGCCAGACCAGACCACTTCCGTACCAAGTAAGTCCCAACCCCAGAGTCCCACTCTGGCCTGGAGCCCTAGGTAACAAAGAGGCAGACACTTAGTTTCCGTTAGGTTGTAGGAATTTATTTTAAATAACCTACAGTTGATTAAAAGGGAATTCATGATAAAAATAGAAGATACTTGAGGAGAGATGTGGGAAATGACTCTGCACGCACACTAAACTAACAATGCCTCTAAAACTAATGATTATAGCAAAAAATGTTTTCACATTAAAATTCTGCTTTTTATGTGTTCTTTTTTTCCATTTTTTTTACACAATTACAAAAGAAAAAAATAAAAGCCCTAAAATCTTGATTATTTTTCTTTTTTTGGACCAAATACTCATTTTCCTCTAGACTTATTGACCTGTGACACTTTTTATACAATAAAATCTTTCAGGTGAAAGACTGGGGTTTAAAATGAAAAAGATGTTATCTGAAAGGGTACAGAAAATGCTCAGAACAAAGGATGATGGGAAAATGGTTTCAGTCACTGATTATTTCATTATCCTTAGACTCACTCACCCCTCATCCCTCCCCGACCCCAATCTACACGATCTTTAAGATCAAGAAAAAGGTTTAAATATTTTAAAATAATTAAAAAGAAATAAAAATTCACATTTAAAAAGGAACACTCAAGTCAGGAAATATTTTCCCATCATGCTTTTCTGTGAACAGGTGTCTGAACCAAAACACTGCCGATGTCACAACTGCTTCAAGTTTAATGAAAATTGATTCCCATGACAATAGATATTGACAACTCTTAACAGGTGCGCCGGGTTTTTGTTCTACTTAATTTTAAATTCCTGAAATGGGGGAGAGGGGAGGGAGTTTAGGAATTCATTTCTATTAAAATATAGAAGTTATTGCAAAACCCTAACTGTAAAAACGCACCAATATAATCGGATTTTGTATACAGTAGCTAAGAGAATCCAAATGTGTCAGTGAAACAGTGAATTTGCCTGGCAGAACTCTGACAAATTCCCATCCACTTGCCCTCTTGAAAATAAAAACAAAATTCAAAACAAATCATACAGCTAGAATTTTGATATCTGAAATATTTTTAAATAAGTTGTCCATAGGACAACTGGCTCAGCTCTCCCTTATAATATCTTCAGGTTTATCTTTTCTCAAAGATGTTGGTTTGTTAAGACTTGCTGCCTCTCCCCCATCAGGTGTGAGGGCAAGCGAGGCTCACAGTTTATCCATCTTCTCCAAACCACACTGTTCCTTTTCACAGAACTGCTCCTCAAGACTGGCTAGAACTCATAGTCCTCGTCAGCCATGTCGATAGCCCAGGCAAACTTCTCCCGCTGGGTTTTGTTGTAAATTTTCTCAATTGGGACCCCCCACTTCTTGCACCTGCAAACAAGGGAGAAAAAGGGGGGTTTAGTGTCTCTGGGAGCAATAGCCCAGACCTGGGGCCAAGGCTTGGATGTGCTGCCTTCTCCTTCACATGCATCTGGTGAGAACGAGAAAGTAGGTGCTACTACAAATGCACAAATGAGAAAGATACAGATAAAAAGACCAAGGTAGAACAATTATGTTCTCATGCAGCTAATGAGCACAGAGCTGAAAACTGAACCCAAGCATCTGGCTCAAGTCCATAGTGCCTTGCAAACTAACCA